TGGAGATAAAACTCTCTTAGGCTTTCAGGGCTGGCTTTGAACTGTGATCCTCAGATCTCAGTCTCCCGAGTAGCTACAATTCCAGGTGTGGGCCACTAGCACTGGCTGAACTTAACTTTGAAATGTGTGTGGTCATTGTAGTGTGGATAACTGGAATTTTTAGCGGCAGTGAATAAAGTTGGAAGGAACCATTTAGACCAAGTGGTTTTTTTTTTTTTTTTAACACGTTTTTATTCCTCTTAAGTAAATTCTTCCAATGGATTGCTGGGTGAAGCATTGCAGAATCCTTAAATTGTGACTATTTTCTGTGTGTAGCTTGTGTGCTCTCCCTCCCTCCCTCCCTCCATCCCTCCCTCACTCTTTCCCTCCCCTTTTTTTTCTTCTTTTTTTTTTGTAGAACTAGGGTTTGAACTCAAAGCCTCATACTTGCTAGCCTGGTGGATTCTAGATCTCTCTCGTGTTAGTCATTTTTGAGACAGGCTCTTGCTGCCTGCTTGGACATGTGCTTTGACTTGGATCCTCCTCTATTTTTTGCTTCTTCCTTGGCTTGATTGACAAAGTGCACACTAGGATGTCCAGCTTCTTCTGCTGAGATGGCGTCTTCAGGGCTTTCTGCCCAGGTGACTTAGAACTGTGATCTCCCAATCTTGAGCTCGCACATAACTAGGATGACAGACATGCTGCCATGCGCCGTTATTGTCTGCTCTGGCTGACGTTGAACTATAATCCTGATCTCAAAGAGCTAGAATTATTTGTGTGAGCCACTGGTGCCAGGCTCTATTTTCTCAAAAAATTTTATTTATTAATTTTTCTTCTGGTTGTCAGTCCCAAGGTTCCAACTCAGGACCTCACACTCTTACCCATCTTTCTTGTTTATGGTTGATGCTCTGCCACTTGGGCTATACCTCCAGCCAAGTATTTTGCTGGTTAGTTGGACATGGTCTCTTGTAGACTTTTCTGCCCAAGGGAGCTTTGAATCCAGTTCTCCAGGTATCAGCCTCTTGAGTAGCACGCATTACAGGTGTGAGCCACCAGGTACCTGCCTCCATTTGGTTATTTTTTCTTCTTCCGGTTTTTCAGTAGTTTCCATCCTTGTGCAGAAAATCTCTTCCGGTTTACATTTTCTGGCCTCAGCCTTTTGCCCTACATTCCTTATCATGTTTCTGTTTTGTTTAGCTTTTTACCTTTTTGTATGAGTTTTAGCCCAGTGTCCCGGCTATTTCTTTGAATTTCTTGTCTGCTTTCTCTTGATTCCAACTTACATTTTCTTCTTTACACGTTTTTAAAAAATTCTTGACTCAATGCCAGACGCTGGGTATCTGAGGACAGAGCGCGAAGTAACGCGCATGCTTGGTCCATGTCGTGTCCCTCGCTGAGTCAGACTACAGACATAGAGGACTGAGTCTGAAAGGAAGCCTAAGCCAGCACTGCGGCTGCTTGAGTTAGACTGAGCTTATCACAAACTTCGTGTCTCTGTGGGCACTACTAGAACCTTCTCTGGAAGGCTTGGCCCAGGTTTCCTGTTTTGAATTTGGACTTCCTCATGCCCTGTTTTTCTCTGCTTGGAATCCTCCTGTCTGAGCTTTTCTGCCCCTTCTCGAGCCACAGTCTCCTCTGTCCTACTCAGATGGCATGGAGGTTCTGAAGGCCTTTTCCATCCTCCTTGCTCGCCCCAGGCCCTTAGCACATGCTTCTCTATGTGGTGTCTCTCCATCCTGTTGGCTCCCTCATAAACCTCTGGCTGGGGCCCCATGAAAGGCAGGTGCGGGCAGGTGCGGGCAGGTGGTTCACTCTGTGTGTGTGTTTCCGAGAAGTTCCAAGCAGTCCCACTGGCTTGGACCCCTGCTGTTTAATGTTTGATAAATTCTACTATTTATTCATCTCCAATGACGTCTTTCTTGTCCTGTTACTCCATGAAGGGGACACACACGCACACACACACACACACACCACACACACAAACCACACACACACACACACACACACACACACACACACACACACACACACTTCTTTCCAAGGTTTGGCTTGCCACTTTCTAGGGGCATCAGTTCACTGGGGTCTTGGCATCTTTGGCTCGGAGATAAGGCTCTGTACCATCTCTTGACTATGTGTTTCTTCCTGTTGGGGGAGGAAGACGATCTATCACAATTTCCTGCCATCTGAGGAGAAGCCGCATTAGCAGTGATGGATTGTTCGAACGAACGCTTGCTGAGACATACAGTCCTGCTGCTGACTGTGTTACAGCTCGCTTGCTGCACGAGCCACAGCTGGCTGGTGGACCAAAGGAAAGTTGCCATTAATAGGACTTCAGCCTGATGAAAACCAGGCAGTGTGTGTTTATCATCTCCAGCAAACCTGTGCTTCAGAGATGTGTGCTTTCTGTTTCCCCAGAAACCCTTATGAGAAGCTTTCTACAGCTGGTGCATTTCTACAGCCTTTCAAGCTCTTTTGTTTGGCTCTGGCACTTTCTCCTCGCAGTAGAATTCAGTACAGATCTGGTAACACTCTGGTTTCATTTCTTTTCCTTTCCCTTGTCCACATTCCTCTTAGACAAGCATTCGATTATTTATGATAGTTACCATTGTACGTTTCTTCATCTTTGACCATAGCTTCTCCAGACACAATAATGTCTCATCAGCCTTGTCTTATGAATGTTTGTGTTCTTTTTGTATATTTTCTGAATTTATAAGCATAGTGACCTGTCAGGTAAAGCAGAGGTAAAACATGGGTATTGGATAAGCCTTACTAGAACTTCAAAAAAGGATGAAGAGATACTGGGTAAAGCGTAGAATACAGAAGGTAGTTCCTTAGACTTTCGTGCTGGGACCTGAGATGGTGTGTGATACATGGCAGTGTCTTGCTATTATTACTACTACTATTACTACTATTACTACTACTACTACTATTTTGTTTTGTTTTGAGTGAATGAGAAAAGGTTTAGTTGCTGATTTATGAATAGAAATGTGTTTAAGACATAATCTCTGAGACTCAAATGTCTTAAAGAATCTCAACGTGATTATATTGTTAATCCACATATTTTTTTTCTTCATTGAGCTATTTTGGAGAGTTCAACTGCTCTCCAGTTAATGGGTTCAAGTGGTTCTCTAGCTTTAGCTTCACATGCAGCTGGGACTACAGGAAGGAATCATTATAACTGTCTTAAAATTTTACTTTCAAAGCCGGGCGCTGGTGGCTCACACCCGTAATCCTTGCTACTCAGGAGGCTGAGATCTGAGAATCTCGGTTCAAAGCCAGCCTGGGCAGTAAAGTCTGTGAGACTCCAATTAATCACCAGAAAATGGCAAGTGGCCCTGTGGCTCAAGTGGTAGAGAGTTTGCCTTGAACTGAAGAGCTGATACACACACACACACACACACACACACACACACACACACACACACACACACACACACACACACACACACACACACACACACACTTTTCCAAGAGCAAAATTTAAATACATGTAGTTCAGAGTTTCAGTCACCCTCTAGGTGGTGCTCAGCCTTGTTTTTGCTGATGAGGCACTCTGTCCTAAGCCACTTGCACTTTTTGCTTTAGTAATTTTTGGGAAGGGCCTTGCTTTCTCCCTGGGAAAAGACTTGCACATGGATGCTCCTACAAGTGCGCCCCACAGAGCCGGGAACACGGGAGCCTTCCACCACGCTTAGAGGATCAATTTTTTTTTAAGTTCCTTTTTTTTTTTTTATTGTGAAAATACTATACAGAGGGGTTACAATTACATGGGCAAGATAATGAGTACATTTCTTATCAAGCATTGTGGCCTCCTCCTTTGTTTCCCCTTCCCATCCCCCCCCCTCCCTAGAGGATCAATTTTGATCCATTGTGCATTTGCGTTCGTAGACAACATGACATGTCTTAAATCAGCAAAGAAGGCCAATTACGTAGCAATTTCAGCCTGGCTTCTCTTTCCAGGCAATAGACACTTGAGGATTGCCGTGCCTTTTTAGGAGGTGATAGCATATTCCTTTTCAGCTGTGACTAACGTCTGGCTGCATTGTAGTCGATGGATCCACATACTTCTGAAGGCTGTCTTGGCTGCTTGCAGGTTTTTGCAGTTGTGGTACAGCAGCTGTAAACACTCAGGCTGATAATTGGTGCAGAAACAGGTTTTTCCAGCAACGCTGGGTAACTCATCAAGGACGGGATTGCTGGGTCCTAAAAGAACGAGCATGTTTACATTTGCAAGAAACTACCACTTTTCACTCCAAAAAACCTGTGTGCTGGAGGCTGGGGACATTCTCACTGGCAGCAGTGTACAGGCCTCATTTGCATGCTGCACTGATTCTGGCCATTCCGATCGGTGTGTGGTGTCTTGCTTTTATTAGTGTTGCTTTGAGGACCTCTTACCTGTGCTAACTTGTCATCTGTATACCTGTATGCATATACCCGCAACCTGGCGACCCCACTTCTAGATGTATATTCAGAAGAATGCAAAGCAGGTACACAAGCAGTATTTGTAAACTTGTGTCTGTGGCAGTATCATTGTCGTAGCCAAAATGTGGATGAATGCAAAGTAGTATGGGTATGTGAATTATTAATAAAGTGCAGTATTTATACACCATGGAGTATTACTCAGCCTTAAAAAAGAAGACAATGCTGCCATGTGCTCTACCATGGATGCACCTTGACTACCTCACGCTAAATAAGCGAGTCACAAAACACACACACAAATCACACACGAGTCACGAAGCACACACCCCTGTGTGATTCCTGTGGAGAGATGAAGGATGATTGCACACAGCTGTAGTTTTGTAAAATGAAAAATAGTCTGAAGGTATATAATAGAGATGGATACACACTGATGTATTTAATGACACTAAAAATGGTTAAGATCTGTGTTTCGCATCGTATGTCTTTAACTGCAGGTACACATTAAAACTCCACCCTCGACCCTCCCAGTCCAGCCTTGGGGAATCTTTGTGGAGCAGTGGCAGGGGTTGCCATTAACCTGCCATGTCCCTGGTGTCTTTCAGGCCCGGCGTTTCCCTGACCCTGCAGGCATTTTCAGAAGAAGAAAGGAAGCAGTGGTTGGAAGCTCTGGGAGGAAAAGAAGCGGTAGGAATAACTAACGGCTCCTGGAGGGCCGACTTAGATTCTCATCTATGTTATTTTTGTTTTATCGCATTTGAACAAAGTTCCCTGCTGAAACTGGTATTCGAATTCAGCATGCCAGCAATTTAGCTAGGGAAAATAGCACACAAGATAATAAAACACACAAGACTGGTGTATCATTAGCTTTTAGTTCTGGAGTTTCTTCACTTCGGCTTGACTTGATGAAGTTATCAAAATTCTCCATTTCTTTTTTGCTACCCCTGACAGTCTTTGGGTGATGAGCACTGTGAATATTTGCATTTTGAGCTCAGTGGAGATGGGACAGTAAATAAAGAGGCAGCAGTACAAGGAATGGCCGCCATGATTTCCTCTATGTGTTGGTGCAGTCGAATGGCTTCCAGTAGGAAGAGTTAACATAGCCTCAACGAACGGGCCTCTGTCTTCAGACATGCTTCGCGGGGTAATTAAAGGAAGTGTTGAGATCTGTTGCCATTTTATTTGAGCATGGCTTTTATTTCTGTGGCCTTGCTAGCCTTTACGAATTGAGAATTTGGCAGTTCATGTGTTGAATTGCGGTTGTAGAGAGAATAATTTCAGGAAACATCACAGAAGCAATTTAAACACACTCTGGGAAAGTATTGAGATTGTGAACCTACTGCCTGAGCAGGTACCAGGTAGACCTGTCTCAAAAGCATTTGCTATTTTTGAAACTTCAGAGATAAATGGGAAAGAGGGTGATGTGAGAAGTAGAAGACAGGGCTCCTGTACAATAACAGGAGAGATTTCAGAATCGAACTTAAGAAACGGGCTTAGGATAATGTTATTTCATGCTAACAGAGCATGTTGCTCTGTAAAAGGCCAACAAATGAGGGCGAGGAGGCTGGGGCCTGCACTGAATGTGGCGATCTCATTGTGGTGTCTGGAAAATGAAGACCGGGAGGATTGCTCTATGAATGGATGCCACATTAGAGAACAGAACGAGCAGCGACCGGATGCGTGCCAGCCTACTTTAGTTTAGCTATATCTACTTTCTATGGTGTTACCTCCATTTTTTATTCATCTTTTTTTCCCCCCATACTGGGGGTTGAACCCAAGGATTTGCACATGCTAAGCAAGCACTTTACCACTTGTACCCTCCCTTCCCCAGCCCTATGCTTATTTTTATTTTTGGTACAGTGCTGGGGATAGAACCCTGGCTTTCCACTTGCGAGGCAAGTGTTCTGCCAGCGATCTGTAACCTGCTCCTATTTTTGTCTATTTATATTTAATTAGGACTACACATGTTTAGCCGGGAGTCAGAGTGCCTATAGTGTTGATGGTAACTGAGATCCAAATCAGGTTATGCTAATCCTCTTTTTTTTTTTTTGGCAGTAGTAATGAACTAGGGACTGGTGCTTGCTCAGCTTGCTTGTTTGGCTAGTACTCTGCCGCTCAACCACTGGGAAGGCAGAGTACTTCCCGCACTTGGTACAGGCAGAATGCAGGATGTGTGGATTCACATACCGATGGCTTCTCTGATGCCAGTTCAGAATTCTACAATTCCGTGCCATCAGTTCTGACACCACCTGGAGTGCCAGTGAAAGATGCTACAATGACAGGCTCAGGCCCAGATGAGGGCCCTGGCCTTTGATTTTAGTCACAGGTCTGAGCTTTTGGGACAGTCTGGCTATACATTGGGCTTTTCATGACTCCTTCCTTGAGATCAGTAACAGTGTGGCTTTCAGAACTCAGAGTATACTTACATATACCACTGTAAGCTACTGGTGACATCTTGGATAGCATGATAGAAGCAACGCTTAGGGCCAGGTGTGCAGTGAGGTGAGGTTGGATTCTGAGCACCTGTACCCCCTGGGAGAGCCCCCTTCCCAGGCTCTAATGTATGCACCAAGCCAAAGGTGTAACACCTTACTTAAGTGTTCACACAGCTTATGGTTGGTGGTCAGTTAGTGGGAGGGGCTGAAGGCCCAACCTTGAATCACTCTGTCCTGCTCTGCCTGATGCCCTGCTCTCCATTGCTTCATTTGCACCCTCTTGGGTGCAGTCAGAGGGGATCTTGATGGAAAACCGAGACTCCTTTCTGCATACTCTCAAGAGTTGAAGAGCTTGGTGGCATACAACAAGGATATGAGGACCATGTGTATTTCTTACATCACATTAATTGATACCAGATTTATAAAAATATTTTTTTCATGATTCCCTAAGCATGCTTACATGAATCACTTTATTGTTTTGTTTTAATCTTGTTTTCCTTCTTCTACTAGCTGTTCCATGGTTTGAATAGAGCCATTATCCCAAGACCAGAAGGAAGTAAGTGCTAATTTATACTAATGAGCATTCTATCCCCTTTATGGAGGCCGGGAGCATTGCTGGGTCTGCTTTTCAGCACTCTGCTGAAGTTAGCTAGCTCTGCCTACCTTACATGTTCTCAAAGTGTTGGGGACTCTAGTAGCCCTCTTTTGTGTTTTCCATGAGCTTTCTTCTACCACTTGACCTGGCAGTTTCTTCTTCTTTTTTTTGGTCAGTCCTGGGGTTTGAACTCTGGGCCTGGGCGCTGTCCCTCAGTTCTTCAGCTCAAGGCTAGCACTCTACCACTTGAGCCACAATGCCACTTTTGGTGTTCTGGGGTTTATTGGAGATAAGACCCTCATGGATTTTGCTGGCTTTGAACCGTGATCTTCAGATCGCAGCCCCCTGAGTAGCTAGAATTATAGGTGTGAGCCACCAGCGCACAACTGGCAGTTTATTCTTTCAGACATAAATGACAGCACATGCAGCCTTTGTGTCGGGAGTTGTAATAAGGTCCCATGGGTACAAGCCTTTTCTCAGATCCCTGTTCCCAGCCTTCCTCTCTTCATCCTTTGTAAAAAAACAAAAACAAAAACAAAAAACAAAAAAACCCAACAATCCTTGGGGCCTAGGAAGGTGGCTCAGTGGTAGGATGCTTGCCTTGCATGCATGAAGCCCTGGGTTCAATTCCTCAGTACCACATAAGCAGAAAAAGCTGGAAGTGGTGCTGTGGCTCAAGTGGTAGAGCGCTAGCCTTGAGCTGAAGAGCTGAAGGACAGCGCCCAGGCCCAGAGTTCAGGCCCCATGACTGACAAAAAACAAATAAAAAAAACCAAACAAAAACAAAAACAAAAAACAATCCTTGGGAAAGTCCCCACAGAATACTGCTAAAGCCTGGTAGTAGGCATATTCAAAGACATTGAATATTATATATATATGTGTACACACATAAAGACCCCCTTTGTGTATATACATCTGTGTATATATGTGTGTGTACAGACACACACACACACACATATATATGTTTTTATACACACACATATATTTAAATAGTCTCTGGCCCCAATGATTCATATCCAGCAGCATTGGTTCCAGGTTGAACATGTAATTGTTGGGCAGATGTTCTTACAGAAGTTTTTTTTTTTCTTTTTGTGTCAGTTGTAGGGCCAAGGTGCTTGTCTCAGAGTTTTTTCATTCAAGGCTAGCACTCTACCACTTTGAACCACAGCTCTACCTCTGGTTTTCTGGTGGTTAATTAGAGACTTTCCTGCCCAGGCTGGCTTTGAATGACAATCCTCAGTTCTCAGCTTCCTGTGTAGCTAGGATTACAGGTGTGAGCCGCCAGTACCTGGCTTCACAAGTACTTTTTTTTTTTTTCTTTTTGCTTATGTGGTGCTGAGGAATCGAACCCAGGGCCTCAGGCATGCAAGGCAAGCGCTCTACCACTGAGCCACCTTCCCAGCCCCACAAGTACTTTTTGTGCAAAGTAACTGTGATGGTTCTCTGCGGGCTGTTGGCTCTGGAGAGGATTGGGGGATGGTTTACCAAGCTGTCGTGTGCAAGAATCATTCCCTCATTATCTTTCAGCTTTACCTCCCCCCTACTTTCTTGTTTTTTATTATGATTGATATAAGTGACTCCATTTTGACAGTTTTTATGTTCCTTTCGTACTTTGATTCCCTTGGTCCTTACAGCCTGAGTGTAGGCTCTCTGAAACATGAAATGACACCATGGAAACATCATCAACCCAATAACTAAACAGGACAAGGATCTGCACATGTGTAGTACTGCCTGCTTCTTTACTTTTGATACTAGCAAAAATGGACTTACTAGACTCTATGGCTTTTTTTTTGCTGTGTTTAGAGATGTTAGGTTACATTGACCAGATGTCAACAGTTTGGAAATAATACATTACACAACACAATCTTAAAATAATCATGCTCACTTGTGCTTGAATACAAGGCAGGTATCTCTAGGCTGGGCACAGATGGTTCACACTTGGAATCCTAGTTACTCAGGGGGGCAGGGATCCAGAGCATCTTAGTTGGAAGCCAGCCTGGGCAGAAAAGTCTATGAAACTCCATTTCCAGTTAACCAGCAAAATGCAGGGCTGGAGGCATGGCTCAAGCAGCACAGCGCCAGCCTAGCAAACATGAAGCCCTGAGTTCAAACCCCAGTACTGGTGGTGTGGGAGGTTGTGGTGGGGGCAGCGTCTCTGGTCCTGGATGCTGCTGTGGTGCCTCACAAGGGAGCGTGTGACTGGCAGGCCTTCTCACCCGCCTCCTCTTCCTGTGTGCTCATTCTCCCCTTTGTTTTCTTGGCACTTCCTCGTCCCCTCTCCCGATCCCTTTTCCCCCCTTCCCGGCTCCCTCCTTTGCCCTTTCACTCCGCTTGGCAATTTCCATTTTTTATTTATTATTGAGAAGTTTAAAACATGTCTTTTGGGAAAAACAGTTTTGCAAAACAGGAAGAGTAGGCATTCTGTAAAACTTGTGAGTAGTGGATTCTTGAACGGTAAATGACTGCTCAGTTTTCATCATTAAAATTCTCCCGAAGCTTACTGTTGTGGATCATGAGCAGAGTTGAGATTGATTGGCTGTTAGTGGGTCTCTGTGAGAGCCAAGGGCTCCTGTTACTGCTCCCTGGGCCCTAAGTGCAGTGGCGTCGAGTGCCATGTTCCTTGGTTTGATTTTGGAAACAAGAATTGTCTTTCATTAGGATGTACAAATATGTCAGCCAAAGCGTAGGCAAACCTTTCTACAAGAAGGACTATAAAGTTATATTTTCACAATAATCTGCTGTACCACGAGTCATCTGTTTTTAATCCAATATGAAAATAATCCAGTATTATTTTAAAAGCTTGGAGCAGGGCATAAAACACCAAAATTTTAATTTAAGATCATTCCCACATATTACATTTAAAAAAGCTTTCCTTAAAAATTTCCTTCCTATGCTTACAAACAAAACATTTCCTTCCTGTGTTTACAAAACAAAACAACATCAACAAGAATGCTTTCCTTCTTGTACTCTGAAGTAATTTAAAAATTTTTGTATTTGTTTTTTTTTTTTCTAACTGAGCTACTGTTGTAATTTTTGGCAAAATAAATGTTGACTATTTCTAGATTGTTGCTCTTAGAAAATAGTATTACTTTCTTTTTGAATATTTAGTATAAACGAACCCTCCTGGCAGGCTCTCTCTCAAATACATGAAATCCCCATTTATATCATTTACATGAGGAATTCGTGCTCTTGGCTGTTTTAGATAGTGCAACAGAAGTCAGGTATTTAGTTTTCCTCTTTTGCAAGGAAGAGAAATATGGTAAGTGTTCGTGTCCTTAACATCTTGTAACTGTGTTTGTTTTAGGTGCACAGCTGGATAAGATGGGGTTCACGATTCTTAGGAAATGCATCAGTGCAGTGGAAACCCGAGGTAATGTGATTGTTCAGCCATTTTATTCCTGAACAGCTACAGACATGTAAACACCTAGAATGCCCCTTGCGCGGTTCGGGATGCGAAGTCATCCATGAATGCACACTCACTCTGGGTATCAGATAGTCTGTTTTTGTTCTTCCCATGATGGTGGGAGGTTCTCCTCTCTAATCTCCCATTGAAATATACGGGGGGAACCTTAGATATTTCTTACATTAAACCGTCATTGACATGAGAACTGTTTTATTAGATTTACCCTCACAAAATAGCACAGGCTAGATGGTTGAAACAGCAGACACGTATTTCCTCATCATCGTGGAGGTTGGAGGTCCCGGGATGGAGGCACAGGCAGGCCTTTTTCCTGAGGTCTGCGGGTTGTGGGGAACCACCTTCTCATGTTCTCCACATGGCCTTTTCTGTGTGCACGCGTGCTCATGTGTCACATTCGTGTGTGTGTTCATGTATGCCAGTCTCCTCTCGAATCAGATCCTTGCTCTGATGACTTCATTTTACTTGGCCTCCACTCTTCCAAACCTATAAAATCTGACCTTTGGCCTTCATCATGAGGACATTGTCAGGGGAACCCTGGTCAGCTGGGAAGACCATCAGAAGACTCAGCAGTGTCAGGTGATCAATCTTGTTCATGCATTTTGTAGAGAGGTTCTTCATCTCCTTTTCCCTTATGCATCCCTATGTTAAAACATCATCTTTAGTGCTGGGAGGTAGCTCAGTGCTCAGTGGAGCACATACCCAGCATATGCAGGGCTCAGGGTTCCACAAAAAAGAACAGCTATCACAGTATCACAATGATCACAGGTGAAATTTAAACACTGGACAAGGGATGAGTTTCAAAAACCATATACTGTTGTGTAAGTTCTGCTACAGGTGACCGGAGACTTCGTATCCCGGCCCCCATATTGCTTTGTCTTCTTTCACAGTACTCTTTGTTCCCACCAAGGACTTCAGGCTCCCACCCACTGAGCCACTGTTTATCCCTCGAGTTCTGCTACAAAAGAAGGAAAAAAAAACTTAAATATTTTATCTGGTGGAATCCTGTGGCTTCCAAGTCTTTCAGCTCTGCCTTTATTTAGCATAGTGCTTTTGGAATTCCTGTTACTGGCTGTGCACCCTTAACTTCATCTTTTTCCATCGCTGTGTAGATTCCGTTATGTGGATATGCCACAATTTGTTTAGCCATTCATCTCTTAATAAACGTTGAATTTAAAGAAATAAACTTTGAATTTAAAGAAAGCTCAGCCTGTCCACTGAACTGAAGCCCAAGGGTTTTATTTTGTGGTTTCTAAGGAAAACCAGAGATTGTACTGTGTGGCCATCCCAGAGTTCTCTGGAGAAATCAAGACTATTGCGGACAGGCTGTTTCTGGAGCTTTGGGTTCTTTGTTTAGCGTTCTGGGGTGATAGGATCTGTCTAGTCAGACACCTGATTCACGCTGTGGATTGTGGGTTCAGTCTTGTTTTGGATGGCTTTGTGGAAGGAAGCGCTGGCATTCACATTTCCTGTTAAAACAGGATCTCTGTCACAAAGGCAGATTGGTACCTGTGAAATTTGGAGTATGGGATAATAGCGAAACTGGAACTGCCTCATGATTTGGGGGTTGGCCCTCCATAATGATGCTCCAGCCACCGAGCCTTCTCTCCCTCCCTGCCAGTGGCAGTTCAGACTGTGGATCAGATTTCTCTCCATTTCACTCTGTGCTCAAATGGAGCTGGCAAACGTGTTCGTCCTACCCGTGCTTCAGAAATGCCTAGGGTTTTAATATCTATCCCTCGACACTCAGGTTCCTTTCTTTCTGTGGTCCTTAAATTAGAACTTTAATCATGTCATCTGCAAGCTTTTTAGTGTTGATAAATTAAATTATTTTCCCAGTGGGTGTGTTTTATACATTCTTGTTTCTGCCTGAGGAGGTCAAAGATCCATCTGGAAAGCATTCTGATTGGGATGTGTAGTTTTATGGACCGTTACGTACATTGAAGAAGAGGAATAAATTGGAATCTGCATGTACTGCATGTATCATTGTGAGTGTGTCGGTTGCTGTTTGTTTTTTAACAGAACAAGTCTATCCTTTTTACGTTAAATTTTTGCCATTTAAAAGCACTTTTTTTTTTCTTTTTCAAATCTTTCGTTCCTCAAGGTCTTTCATTACTGAAATCTGCTTGCAGTAGAGTAATAGAAATAGAGTTTAAAAGTGTCAACAGTCAGACCATCCGATTGAATGATGATGAACACTGTAAAATTGCTCAGGCTTTTATCCAAACATTGGAAGTTCTTCAGGGTCTTCAGTCAGCCCTCTTGGCTGACCTCTCTCTCCTTCGTTCTCCCTATCTCTCCTCCTCCCTCTCTCTTTCTGTATCCTATGAGTGGTGCTGTCTTCCCTCTTTTTCTTTCCTACCAGGACGAAGCTAGTTTGGGTTGCTGTAATAAGAAATACCTAAATTTCGACATCTTAATACACAAAATTTCTTTCATTCATCAAGTATTGGTTTGTGCAGAGTTAGAGAGAGAGGTTCTAAATGGCAGATTGATGGCTGATGCGCCATCTTTTTTGTCTACCTGCCCAATGGCCAGCAGTATTTAATGGTTCCTTCATCTGATTTCCTTAGCACTTTAGAAGGTATTTCGGGCCGTGAACAGCGGTGCCTTGATGTGCCTCTGGGAATCCAGTGCTGAAGTTCTGAGCCCGCATCTCCTGCACCTCCCAGCACTGAATGAGATCTAATGGACCAACTATTTCTAGCCACTTGACCTCAGTGTTTAACATCTGACAGTTACCCTCTGAAAACTGCCGTTTCCATGGGTTTGCTTAGGGCAGTTCATCTTTTGCTTGCCTACCTTTTCTGAACATAACTGGCGTTTTGTTTTGGTTTTTATTTGGGCTGTCTGTCTCTGAAGTGGTTGCAGAGCATCAGCTGTCTTACATTTGCTGTGGTCCTCAGCACCCTGCGAGCAGGTAACGTTTTCAGCGTTATTCTAGTCTTGAGATAAGAGCAAATTCCATTTTACTACCAGTTCAGAATCACTCTCTGGTTTTTATAGTTCTTTGCCTAGGACGTTGTTAGCAGATTTTTGGATGGAGTCCTGGATTCTTAACATCTTGGCGACGGAAGAATTCAGCTAAGATTTAAAATGTGACAAAAGCAATGGCAATATTTATGGAGGGAGGAAGGCTTATGGAGACGTAGGAATGGTGGATCGTCTCAGAGGAGACATCGGCCCCATCCCTTATGCCTGCACTGTCATTGCTCATCAGCATAGCGCGGAGAGGGAGAAAAATCCACAAGTTCAAGTAGGTGAAGATGACGTAGCTTTTGCTCCCTTCCTCCTGTCCAGTCTGGAGCCTAGTGGTGGACCTGGGCTGCTCCCACCTTCTTTTCTATAACTGGACATGGGTAACTGCACGTCTGATTATCTTAGCCCTGGAGGCGAGTGAGCTGCAAGGCATACACCAAACACGCTCTTGTGTTTCTTTGGTTCATTGTTTATGTCTACCCGATACCTGACAAAGTTACACCGAATGTCTGGCCTCACGTCTTCTGAAGTTTCAGTCCCAGTCGTTTTCTTCAATTTCTTCCAGACGTCAGTCTTAAAATATTTCTTAAGGTCTTGACATAAGCCGTGGCTGGCCTCAAACTAGAAATCTTCCTGTCCGTGCCTCCTGAATAGCTGGGATTGTAGATGTCTTCTACCAAGCTCCCATGTTATTGGGAAATGGAAATGGGGCCTGTGTACTAGAGAGGTAGGATGCACCATTTTATCTTCAGCGTTGATGGTGTCCTCCTAGAGGTTAACTTAAAAACCATACAGCCTAAATTTAAACAAACAGAACAGAAAAGTCCTGTAGACAATAACACCATTTCTCTTCTTAACCTGAGTAACAGATGACCTACCTGTTTTTGTTTCTAGTTGGAAGCCCGTCAGTTATGCAGTATTTATCGAGCAATCACAGATGTCTATAGCCTTGTTTTGGGTCTCTGGGATACACGTTAAAGGCTGATTCATATCATGCTGAATCTGATAATAGTAGGCAGGACAGAGAGGTTTGCAAGCAATTGCGTTATACCAGGTGATAATATCAAAATGTTACACATTCGCACAGATGAAGAGAATCTTAGTGCTTATCGACAGATTGGAAAAGACTCATGCTAACTGAACACTGGGAATAGACTTCCTTAGATGGAGAGGCCAGGAACGTGTGTGGGCATCGAGAGAAACCTCAGCAAAGATGGGAATCATTGTGTGGCTTTTGTTTTAAAAACATCTTTTAGTTACTATTTTTAAGGTAGCCGTGACTTAAAAATTTATATGCCACTTCGGTTTGTGAAATTTCTCTTAAAAATCCTCCATATGTGCATCATTTGAATATTCACTTTAATTTTCTAGAGTATGGCATTAAGATGTTGGTCTGGGCAAGCTGTCAGTGATCAAATTCAGCATTGTAACAAGTGGTGAATTCATGGGAAGGAAGTAGAAAGCCATGAAGAAGATGCCTTGATTTGTCCCTCCTCCGTAAAAGTAATTTCTCTTCATTTGCAAAGCAACATTGCAGCATATAGAGAACCTTCTTGAAGTACTCTTGAGGATCTTTCTCCTTCCCGAGTGTTTTGGGTTGGAGTGGGGTCTCAGGTAGTCTCTGGAAGAAGACAGTCATGTATGGTCTCAGTATTCATCTTGGGAGGCTGGGGACGTACCTAGCCAAGATCTCATGTGAATCTTAAATCGCCCAGGGCAAACTCAGTGCAAAAGGAAGAAAAATAAAGAACCAACTGTCTTGGAAACTGTACCCTGTAAACTAGGGTATCTTGCTCACTGCCTCTTTTTTAATCAGAATAGGTATGAAGCGAGTGTGGGTGGACCTAGAGGACAGTCAGGTGTGGGAGGGAGCTGGGGAGTCCGACGGTATCCCCAAAGAATGAAAACACAGACTCCAGCAAATCAGACCCGCAGATTCACTTTCTCAGCAAGGCTGGTTATTCATTTTACAG